TGGCAGCGTGGGCCGCCGCTCCCGCCTGGCCCAGGACTTCATGGCGCAGTGTGCCCGCGAGGCCGCCCCTGCTGCCCGGCCGGGCCCCGACAAGGTGCCCCGGGCCCCCTCACCATCGCAGGGCGGCCCTGCGCCCCCACCGCCCACAGACCCCCAGCTGACCAAGGCACGCAAACAGGAGGAGGATGACAGCCTCAGCGATGCAGGTACCTACACCATCGAGACCGAGGTGCAGGACCAGGAAGTGGAGGAAGCCCGCAAGATGATCGACCAGGTGGGCGGGCAGTGGGGGAGTGGGCGTGGTGATTTACCAGGTGGGCGGAGCGAGGACTGGTGGTGATGGGTGTCAGGTGGGCGGGGATTGGGTGAGCGGATGTCATGTGGGCGGGGCCTGGGTGTTGATAGGCCAGGTGGGCGGGGACTGAGTGATAGAGAACCGTGTGGGTGGTGGATGGTAGCGTCTGATGGGGGGGCAGAGCAGGTGTGGGTTGGGGGTTGGGTGAGCACATGTCATGTGAGCGGGGCCTGGATGATGATGTGGGGGATGGGGTAGAGAGGGAGTGGGTGGGAATTGGGGGATAGGGTGTCATGTGGGTGGGGCCTGAATGATGTACCTGGTGGGCAGCGTAGAATAAGCAGGGATTGGGGTGATGGGTGTCTGGTGAGCAGGGTTAAGGTGGGAGTGGGTGGGGATTGGGTGATAGAGTACCATGTGGCTGTCAAATGGGCTGATGGAAGTGGGACTGAATGGGAACTGGGATAGTGATGCCTCTTGTGGACGGGGCAGGATGGGACTGTGTGAGGACTGGGGTGATGTCGCACCAGGTGGGCGAGATGACGGAACTGACTAGAGATTGGGGGCCCAAGTGGGGGATGGACCGAGTAAGTTGCAGGGACTGGGTATGGGAGCTCCGTTCAGGCTTGGCTGTGCCTGGTTGTGAGGGTGCTGGAGGCTGGCTATACTGAGGATTAGTTAGCCTGGGTTAGCCCTGCAATCCCAGGCCGGCTCACGGACCAGTCTGACCAAGCAGGCCCTCTGCCCTGACGGTAGCCTCGGGTAGGGCTTGTGTCTGTCAAGGGATGAGATCAGTACCCCAACTGCGGGCCCTGCTTGTCCCTTCCTGGCAGGTTTTTGGAGTGTTTGAGTCACCAGAGCTGTCTAGGACGTCCTCGGCCACTTTCCGTCCCGTCATCAGAGATGACAGAGAAGAGGCAGCTGAGGGGGATGTGGCCCAGCGACTTGCCCTTCTGCAGGAGTTTGCATCCCGGCCACCAGGTGCCGCAGCCTCACAGCCAGAGCAGCAGGTACAGCCCAGCAAGGCTGACTCAGGAGCCAGGCACCCGTGTCTGTGTGCCCCGACCAACAGCAGGCCCTAACTAAAGATGCAGTTGGGTTATAGTTAATGTGTTGGCACCCATCTGTCCTTCCTGTGGCCCTCCTGTCCCCTCCCCTGTGAGCTTATGCCCCGCCCTGTCTGCTCACCTCCCTCAGGTCCTCAGCCCTGCCCCTCACACCCCTCACACCCACACACACACCCCGTTCTCACACCTTGCCCCTTACACCCCTGCCCCTCTCGCGCGCGCACACACACACACACACACCCCGTTCTGACACCTGGCCCCTCACACCCCTGCCTGCTCACCCCCCCAGGTCAGCCCTGCCCCCACACCCTTCCCTGCTCACTCTGCTCTGCCCACTCGTGTCCATCTTCTGCCCTTTCCTCTGCAGGGCTGCACAGTGACTCAGAAGTGGGTGTCCCGCTGGGCCAGCCTGGCTGACAGCTACTCAGACCCTGGCTTGGCAGGTGAGGCGTGTGCTGGGACCTCAGAGGGCTACCAGGACAGCTCCTGGGACAGTTGTGTGCACACCCAGCAGCTTCCTGACCAGCTGTCATTCCACTTTTGCAGAAGATGGTGCTGGCCGCCGCGTAACAGAGCCTGAGGTGTCCCTGCCCTCACGGACACGGCGCCTCCTCCCGCAGCTGCCCAGTGAGCGAGCAGACAGTCCCGCAGGTCCAGAGGCCACCAGGAAGGCTGGGCCTGGGCCGCTGGAGCCCAGCAGTGAGCCAGCCAGCAGCCCACTCTTTGGCCGAGAGGATCTGGACCCCGATAGTCTCAGTGATGCCAGTGGGTCGGACGGTGGGTGGGACCCTGAGCAGGGCAAGGGGAAGCCGCCTGGAAGACACTGTAGTCCCCAGGAGGTACCAGCCAGCACACAAGGCCGACGCCCATCCTGGACCCCAGGGTAGCCAGCCCCCATCTCCTTCTTCATTGGAGACCAAAATGGAGAGGCTGTCCTCGCCAGGAAGTCCTGCACAACTCCAGGGGACACAGGGGGCCAGGGTCAGGTGCCTGTGCAGTGGGCAGCCCCGCCGGGCACACAGTCTCAGGACGGGCTCTACGTGAGCACCAGCGGGCGCATGGTCATCCAACTGTGTGGAGGGCACCCCCCAGAGCCGACAGGCCCTGACCCAGCCCCGCCAAAAGAGGCCCTGGCCTTCATCCGGCAGGAGAGCTTCACCAAGGAGTCAGCTAGTGGCCCACCGGCCCCAGGCAAGCTCCCCAACATCTCCAGTCACCCCCTACTCCAGGACCTGGCTGCTGTGCGAACTGCCCGCTCAGACCTCCACACCCAGGACACGCACCTGATCCTGAAAGAGACAGAGACAGCGCTGGCCGCCCTGGAGGCCCAGCTGCTCTCCAGGTCTGCAGAGGCAAAGACTGGGGGTCGCAGCCCCTCCCGGCCACCTGAGGATTCCCTGTCTGGTGACTCCGACACCGCCAGCTTGGCCAGCCTGCTCAGCGGCAAAAATGGGCCCAGCCCCACATCCCCCCAACAACTGGCCCTCAGAAGGACAGGCTGCCGGGCACACAAGACCCAGGGGGCTCCGCCCTGAGCAGCGCCAAGGGACGGCTGTCAGAGAAGCAGCAGCGCTCAGCAGGCCCAGCAGATGCTGGCCGTGGAGAACTGGCCCGGCGCCTGTCCATAAGGCGAGGTCACGGGCCCCGAGGGTCTCTGGACTGGCCGGATGAGGATCGAGGTTCCAGCCCCACCCACCTGCCCAGCTCAGACGTTGTCACATCAGACCAGGAGACATCTGGGTCGGCCAGGGTGGGGCGACCAGGCCCCCGGAGAAAGCCAGCGGCCACCCTGCCATCCCCTGCCGTACGGGAGGAGCAGAGCCGAGCGCCCAGCAGTGCTCAGAAGGTGCAGCAGGCCCTGACTCGCTCCAACAGCCTGTCCACTCCAAGGCCCACTCGGGCCTCCCGGCTGCGGCGAGCTCGCCTGGGCGATGCCTTGGACACGGAGGCTGCAGATGGGGAGCGGGGCACCCCTGGCAACCCCGAGCCGACAGCGAGGCCGCCCACGGAGCAGACCAAGAAGCTGTCGCGACTGGACATCCTGGCCATGCCCCGGAAGCGGGCAGGCTCCTTCACCGGCACCGGTGACACCGAAGCCACCCCTGCCCGCTCCGGCTTCTCTGGCCGAAGCGCTGAATTGTACTGTACCAGCCGCAAGCCCACCATGGCCGAGGCTCGGGCTGCTGCCAGGAAGACCGCCACGGCCTCCACGGCCTCCCGCCAGCCCTTCAGCAGGGCCCGCCCGGGCAGTGCCCGCTACCCCTCCTCCAGTGAGTGTGGGCCCTGGGTGCGGGTGGTGGAACCCCAAGATTCCTGTCCAGACCAGAGCCATCCCTGCTTGGCCACTTCCCTATGCCCTCTGGGTGCCAGTCGGGGCTGCCCTCTGAGCAAGAAAGAACAGAGTGAGGCTAGTGGTCATGTAGCAAGGACTCTGCTTGGCAAGTATACATTGCGCTTGCTACGATTACACTGCTTCCCGCCCCAGCAAGCCTTTGCCCCACCTGCAGTCATGGGACCCTGGGGCCCAGGGCAGGTGGGACTGAGGCGCCAGGTGGGCTCACCCTGCCGAGGTCATGCCAGGTGGGGCTTGGCAATGGTGGAGGGTAGTGTCTGCTGAGGCGTCTTCCTTGCTGTAGTGGGCAGTGGTCCTGTGGCTAGCCTGAACCTCAGCTGAATGCTGCCCAAGCCTGTGTGTTTGGTGTGCAGGCGGTGATGGCCAGGCTTGAGCGCTGTGGGGTCACTGGGCAGGGCTTTGGGTGCTGAGGGCACTGGTTTCTTCTTGCTTCTGAAACTGATTCATCTGGCCAGCCGTGGGGCGCCGGCAGCAGGGCTCGGATTACACATCCACCTCGGAGGAAGAGTGTGGCTCCCCCAAACACACGCGCTCCCATGCCTCAACAGCCACGCAGACCCCGCGGGCAGGCGGCTCCCACCACTCCCGGCCCCGGGCCCCCGGCTCCCGGGACACAGACGTCGAGGAGTTGGCCGACCCATATGGCCTCATGGTGCAGACCACTGAAATAGCAGAGATTGCCAGGTGAGCGGCCAGGGAGAGGGTTGTGGACGTGAGCGCAGAGCCATCCTCCACTGAATGGGCACGGTCAGGGGCCAGGTGACTGAGTGAAGAGAGAGCTGCCAGGAGGGTGGGGTTTCCATGCCCGGGGACCCCATCACAGTCTTTACTGCAAATGAACTTTGTCTTGGAGCTGGTCCCTGGAGATGGGGGAAGTGTCTTGGGGTGGAGAATGGGACTCCCGGCCAGGAAAGGTGCTGCTGTGCCCCCGAGAAGGAAAGTCAGGAAGACAGACTCAAAAACTTTGCCCTCCGTTCATTCAGAAAGAAAAACGTCCTGAACAAGGAGCAGTACCGTGAGGGTTTGGAGAGGGTTCAGCCTGGGGCACAGAACCACCAATGTATATCCTACAGATGACCCCCTACACAGGCTGGCCCCTCTACAGACGTCCCCGTACAACAGCCCACACACAGAGCACCCCCACACCGACCACTCCACAACCACTTCACTCCCAGATGGTCCCTGACACAGACCGCCCCACATTCCCAAGGGGCCCCTGCACGGACCATCCCCCTGCACAGAGCCCATACAGGGTCAGATCAAGGGACGGTAGGCTGGTGCAGACGGAACCTGAGGTGGAGCCTTCCTTTAGTTCCACAGCCAGCATGGCTGGAAGCGAGAGGGGAAAGGGCCTGTCCAGCCCAGGGCTGCTCATGACCACAGGATCTAGAAAAACAAGTCGGTTCAGAACGCAACCTGCTTGGCTTTGACTGGGCTGCTTGGGGGCATTGTGATAGACTGCCACACGGGGGTGTGGGCAGAATGTGTCCCCGCCCCTCACTCCTCACAGCAGATGTGGGCGTGGGCAGGATCTGGAGTGGCCGCTGGAGGACAGCGCCTCTCCCCACCCTGCGAGGACTCGGCCTTGGGGTGGGCACATACATCAGGGCCTTTGTGCCCCTCCCCCATTCTCCTGTTCTCAGACTAAGCCAAACACTGGTGAAGGATGTGGCCATCCTGGCCCGTGAGATCCATGACGTGGCTGGTGACAGTGACCCGCTGGCCTCGCCAGGCCCTACTCGCAGTCCCTCTCTCAGCAACGTGCCCAGTACCCCTGCCTCCACCATCTCTGCACGCGAGGAGGTGAGCGCCAGAGGCCCAGGTGATGCTAGAGGGCAGGGGTCAGTGTTAGGGGCATTGGTGGGACCCGCACAAACGGGGCTGCGGGCACCCCTGTGATCCTCTGCAGCTGGTGCAGCGCATCCCCGAGGCCAGCCTCAATTTCCAGAAGGTGCCACCCGGCGCCCTGGACTCCAGGGAGTTTGACCAGAACATGAACAACAGTCGTGAGGAACCCCTGGCCTCCAAGACGAGGCCTCGGAACCGCGAAGAGGCATGCCCCTTAACTAGCATGCCTGGTCGGGCACGGGGCGGGGGGGCGCAGGGGCACAAGAGCCTGACACCCCGCTCCTTCCAGGTGATCTTTGATAACTTAATGCTGAACCCCGTGTCCCAGTTGTCACAAGCCATCCGTGAGAACACAGAGAGTCTCACAGAGAAGATGAAGTGAGAGGCCATGGGCCTGGGGGCGGGGCCAGGCATAGGGGAAGGGGGTTGGGGCGGGGGCCAGGAGAGGAGGAGCCTGGGGGGAGGGCAGGACAGGACCAGGGAAGGGGAGGGGCCTTTGGGGGTGGGAGGAGGGAGACACACCCCCATCCGTCCCCGACCCCTGAGCTGGGGTGCCCTGGACACAGTCCAGCAGGGCAGTCCCCGGGTCAGGGTGAGTGGTGACCCTGCTCCCCTTCCCCTGGCGGGCAGGATTCTTTTCCAGAACACGGGGCACGCGTGGGAGGACTTGGAGGCCAGGCTCAATGCTGAGAACGAGGTGCCCATCTTGAAGACGTCCAACAAGGTAGGGGTTGCCCGCGGCAGGAGGGGGACCCCCACTGCCCCCCTAGCCAAAGCTCCCCGCCCTTGCCTGGACTGGACTGGCAGATGGGGTCAGGAGTTCTAGGCCAGGCCCTTCTTCTTTCCAGGAGATCAGCTCCATCCTGAAGGAATTGAGGCGCGTGCAGAAGCAGCTGGAAGGTGGGCGTGGCCAGCATGGCTTTAGGGGATGGGGGGGGGGGTCACCTGGGTCTCGTGGGACCCGAAGAGCCCATGGTGTGGAGGCAGGTCAGGGGTCTGGCAGGCAGGCAACCTCAGCAAGGGAGTGGCCAGGGCAGTAGCTGGGCACCCTTGGTGGGTGGGGGGAAGGCGGAGTCTCAGTCAGGTGCCCCCAGTGGGCAGGTCAGCACCTCTGCACCTCATTGCCTGCAGTCATCAACGCCATTGTGGACCCCAGTGGGAACCTGGACCTCGTGACGGGGAACAAGAGCTCAGGAGGCCAGGTTCATCCAGGAAGAGTCCAGCCAGCCAGCCAGAGCCCGTCACCCTCGGCGGAGACACTGCTGCCCACCCTGCGGCCGAGGGGCTTCCAGCCGCGGGTGAACTGTGGGTCCACAGGGCTCCTGGACCCAGTATTCCTGCCCGACTTCCTCCCCGATGCAGAGCATTTCCTCATTTAGGCCACCTCCACCCAGTTTGTCCTGTGTCCCCTGCCATACTGGCTGGCTCACCACCTACACCCCCACATGTGCCATAGCCCACACTTGTGTGGCCGTGCCCGTTTTCCGGCCTGCCAGCACTCCTCCCCAAACTCCAGCTCGGCCACCTCCTGGCCCATCAGTGGTCCCCACCTCATCTTCATCGCTGTCATTTTTGTCTTGCTGAGGAGAGTTTGGGCTGCAGTGGGACCCTCCTGGCATGCAGAGCTGAGTGACCACCCCAAAGGGGCTGATGAAGGCTACGGCGGACCTTTAGTGCCAAACACAGAGCTGGGGCCAGTGCCCACCCCGGGCTGAGAGAAGAAGCTGGCCAGCTTCACTCAGAGAGGCCTGGATACCTGCTGAGCCAGGGCCATGGCACTGCCCAGGGGAGGTGTGACTGTGACAGGCTTCTGGCTAGAAGGCCACTGCGTCTGTCTTCAGTGCCAACACAACTGCCAAAGCCCTGCCTCTAAGGGCTGTCTGGGAGCCGTGGGCTCGGGGAGCAGCACGGGCACACGTATACCCACACCTGCCTGGGAGCCGTGGGGTGGGCTTGGGGAGCAGCACAGGCACACGTACATGGGAGGAGCTGAGGTGGCTTTGCACTTGGATCCGGCCTTGGTCCTGGTGATTTGGAGAGGCACACCGAGCCTAAGTGGCTAGAAATCGAGCTTCTGGAAGCCCCTAGCTCAGCTGGCTGCACCTCGGGTCCCTTTCTCCAGGAGTGCTCTGGGGTCCTGATCTGACTTCTCAGGAGTCTCAGCTGAGAGCAGCTCTGTCCCTGGAGGCAGTTGAATCTGGGGATGCTCAAAGCCAAAGAGCCGTTAGCATGGCCAGTGGGAGAGGGAGTGTCCCCCACCAGGTGGCTGGGTTGGTTCTGGAGCCCACGCGGGTGATGCTGGCCGTCTGCTGCTGGGAGCCAGCTTGCTGTGTTTACATTTGTGGGTGTTGAGTCGTGTGCTTGGGTCCTGAGCACCCTGCCCCTCCTGTGTTTACGTGCGCAGTGGGAGGGGTCCTGCCCTGTCCCATCTGAGAGTCTGTCCACTTGGGGGAGGTGTTAGCCTCGCCTGCCCTGCATGCCCACACAGCTGCCCATAGCCTGGCCTCGCCACCCATGTCTGTCTCACTGGGGGGGGTCCTTGTCCACCCACCCCTCCTTGGCAATTGCCGTAAGATTTACTTTCATTCACAAGTTCATCTTTTCTCCCGTGTTGAGGTTTCTCACCCCTCGGTACATGGCCAGCCTGGGTGTGGGGCCTGTAACTTATTTGTCTGAGTTTTTTTGGGGGGTGTCCGTTCTCAGGTGGTTGTGTGGGTGTCTTTAAGAAAATGCTTATTTTATATGATTTCTCATGGAATTTGTTCTAATAAATCATTCTTCTATCACATGGTGACACACCAGTGTCTCCAGTCTGGTTTTTCCCTCACCAGTGGCAGCCATGGGGGTCCTCCCCCACACTGCAGAGACACCTTGGAAGTCCCACTCTAGAGACTGCAATTCAGAGAAGGTGCCACTATGGGGCACACTAGTGGAGAGGATAAAACCTTGTCTGGACATTGGTGCAGAAATAAGAATGTGGGTATGTCAGTGCTGCCCGGGGCTGGACACGTTCCCGTCACAGCTGATGGGGGTACAGGTTCCACAGGGAGCACCAAGACCACACCACATCGCCGCACCCCTTGCGCTTGAGAGAAACTTCTAGTCAGGCACCTCCAAAGTGACCTCTTGGCATGTTTGCAGCCCCTTATGGGGGTCTGAAGGTGACCACTGCCCTGCCCCTTGGGCTGCATGGAGGTCCTTGAGACAGATGGCCAGGGGCCACTGGAGCAAGTATAGACCCTTTGGGGGTCACTTTTACCCCACCAGGTCCTGGGACGGCCCTGGATCCAGATGGTTCTGCGTCCTGAGATGTCTGTTTGTGGCTCTGAGTTTCATGGGCTGTGGCACCCCAGGTCTGCAGGTGGGAAGAGAAATCTCAGCAACGGGTCAGGCTGCCCTGCAGAGGGTGAGGTCAGGGTCTGAGATTTGGGTTCTGCCGTGGACAGCTGGTACAGCAGTCAGAAAAGCAAAGGGTGTTTCTCAGCCTGGAAGGTTCTGGCTGAGAGGACATGGCAGTGCCATGGAGAAAGTTCTGGGCCCCAAGGGCGGAGGGATTTGAAGGCCAGGGTGTGAGAAGTGAGACAGGAAACAAACTAGAGGTGATGTGGGGGGAGAGAGAGCAGAGGGTCCAGGAGACAGGCAGGGGCCTATGTGCTAGAGCTGGGGACAGCAGCATACCAGATGGGGGGACATGTGGGCATCTGAGAGCCGGGGGTGGTGGGCATAAGTGGTGTGGACTTTAGGGGAGGAAGGGTTGCCAGTGAGCTTAGGAGCTACTTATGAGGGGAGTGGCTGGTTCTGAGCCTACTTCGGGTCCTGCATTATATGGACAAACTGGTAAACACACTGCAAATGGGTGACTTTGTCTCCAGGTAATTTATTATTGGCAAATATAAACATCATGTTCAGGAAAAAAATCCCATGTAATTTCTGTGCAGTATTTAGTTACTTTCTTCAAGGAAGTATTTTTTGGGGGGGAAATGCCGAAGATGGTCACTTACACTGTTGTTGTTAAGTGCCGTCGAGTCGCAGGTGACTCATATTGACCCTATGAAGGAGAGTCCTCAACACTTGGGTGTCTTTGATCCTCTCTCCAGGTTCATAGGGTTTCTGGAAGCAAGCTATTATGGAAATGAATGCCACTCCTTCCAAGCTTGTTTTAATTGGGGAGCTCCAGCCCACTCTCTGTCCGCTGGACTTACACTGGACTTACACCGTACAACAGCACAAATCAAAGTAAATTTTTATTTTGCTGAAAAGAAAATTGTGCTGCTCTCTCCATGGCGTAAGAGGACTCTGGTGCCTCTGTGGTAAAGAGCTAAGCTGGCAGTGCAGCGGCGCACTGTGTGAACCCACCGGAGCTCTGTGAGCGAGATGGACAGCCAACTCCCAGGAGATCTCCAGCCTTTGGAAATTCACTGCAGAGTCAGCTAGGAGTCAGTTCCCACTCAGCAGCAAATAACAAGTTTATGGTCCGCTTTAAATTCAGAAAAGGTGTGTAAGATTGTGTCCTTTCCCCATACCCAAGCAATCTGTACACTGGGAAAACCACTCAAGCTGGACTTGATCAAGAAGAAACTGGTGTCAGGATTGAAGGGGGACCTGTCAACGGCCTGTATTGGACAGGTGACACAACCTTGCTTGCAGAAAGGGAAGACTTAACGCACTTATTGCAGAAGATCAAAGATTACAGCCTTCGATTTTTGTTACATCTTGACACCAAGAAAACCGAAGTCTTGATTCAGGTACATAAGGCTGGCGGATTATGAGACTTTTTTTTATTATTATTTTGTGTGTGTATACCATCATACTGGATCTGACTGGTACAGGAGTAGATTGCCCCTCCTCCAGCAGAGCTTCTGATGGATTCAAACCTCATACCTCTGGGATTATAAAGTAGGCGGATTAGAGAAAAAAGAATCAGTAAGGAAGTGAGATTAAAAGAGAAGGCAGAAGGAATGGGGGAAGAACACAAAACCAGAGGAAAAGCAATGAGAAATACAAAACCCGAGCAAGAGGAAGGGCCCTGAACGCAGCACCAGATCTGTGTCCTTTACCACGGCAGTGCTGGATGGAGCTGGGGTCTGGCTCAGAACAGCGTGTCTGCCGGCCGAGCAGGAGAGTGGGCTTGGGGTGCCTAACCAGAGGAGAGCTTTTGCCTGTCTGTGACATGGTAGAAGCTCTAAGATGTGAGCTGTGTGTCCCCACCCTTCCAGTCCAGACGCCCTGGGGGTGGACACCCAGCCCGGGATACTTACTGCTGACCTAGTCTTCCTGGACAGGCCTGGTGTCTTTGCCAGTCCAGGGGACATGTCCTGTCACCAACCCCTCATGGAACATCCCCACCCCATCACCCCTCAGAGGGTGGAGTACAGTCATCCAGACTTCAGTCAGGGATGGTGGTGCTGTGAGGGTGCTGGTCACAGGACAACACTGCCTTGTACTCAGGGAACCCCAGTGTGGCAGGTGGATTCCTCTCTGGGTCCAGCCACACCCCCACATTCTGCAGTATGGGATCCCAGCCACACCCTCACATTCTCCAATTTTTGTTTCCATTCCCCAAGTTGAGGTCCCAGCAGCTAGTTCCCTGAATTCTCCAGAGTGGGGAGCCTGTTTCCCAGCCTCCCTTAAAGCTGAGTGCTGCTGTATGAATTTGGAGTCCAAATTCAAACCAAAAACCTGCGGACTTTCAGGAAGTCGGCTGTTGGGAGCTCAGAGGTGCAGACTGAGCTCCAGCAGCCATGAGGCCACCGTGAACCCCAGAGGTCAGGAGTCTGCAACCGTGGATGAGGCACTGGCTAGCAGTTAGTGGGAGGGATGCCCCCACCCTGTGCAGGCCACGCCCTCCAGCCTGCCTGCTCCACAGATGTCTTTCAGACATGCAGAGGGTGAAAGCAGAGAGGAAGTGCATCTAAGGGGGAGAGTGTGTGGAGAGCTGGGTGCCGGGAGGTACTCCACTGCAGACTGTGCTGGACGCTATGGGTGCCAAGGCAGCCGCCCCAGAGGTGAGAGGGAAGCCAGGCAAGAAGGGCCAGACTTCAGGGGCTCCCACGGCCATGGTCCTCTGTCAGCCATGCAGGGTGGAAGGTGGGGACCAGCCACTGCAGGCTGGGCAAGCTTGGTGGCTTGTCACCTGTGCCCACTGCTTGGAGGTGCCACCATCGCTGGGTCATTCTCTCAACATGGCCAGTTAGTAGGGCCCAGAACACATAAACCCCACCCAGGGACCAGTCTCCCCAGCTTCTGGGATGGTGAAGTTGGAGATCCCCTTCTGTTCTGGGGACCTGTGGCCATAGGAAGTGCCTCAATGACTCCAGGGTGGGGACAAAGTTCAGGGAGGGGAGGCACAACTTGTCTGGGGGACCCAGGGTCCCTGCCAGCCCAGTGTGGGTGCCCCAGACTTCAGTAGAGGAAGGGCATACTCCACCATTGTCCTGTAAAGGGGCACTCTGCTTTTGTGGGGATGGGAGACTGAGGTCCACTCTGTGGACACTTTGTGGGGCACCTTGGGCTCCTATCGGCCCCAGGTGGGAGGGAAAGACTGGTTTCCACTCTGGCACCTGGGCATGAGGTGTCAAGTTTGTTGAGGTTCTCTGAGGTCTCCCACACCTGGAGCCTCTCTCGAGGTGACTTCTGGGGCTCCACATCTGAGCCGCACTGTAGAGTTCCAGGTCCTGCTAGCCCTGCTCCCAAGCTGTAAGGGCCAGAGCCTTGGAGACCAACCCCTGGTACCTCTGAAGTTTGGCAGCCCAGGTGCCAGATTCTGGCCTTGTTGAGGACACCACTGACCACCACAGGCCACCATGAGCCAGGAACAGCCTGGTTATGTCCACCAGAAGGAGATGTTTCCCAGGGCTCCAGGACCACCAGGATCACCCAGGCTTTTCCTCATACCCAGGCCTCTGCCCTCAGGCCCTCAGGCCCTCAGGCCCTCAGGCTGTCAGGCCCTCAGGACCGCAGGTGGGGGGCAAAGGGGCATGGTGTTGGGCTGTAGGCAGGCATGCTGGGGAAAGCAGAAGCGGTTTGAGCCTCATTTGCATTGCAGTTGAGACAAGGAACTGAGATGCAGACACCTGGCAGTCCCCCCTTTCCAGAGAGAGGACGAGGGGACACTCCCACCCATGTAGCTGATGCGCACGGGAGAGAACACAGCGAAAGTGGAAAAAAAGAAAGGAAACCACCCAGCTGCTGTGGTGCAAAGACCCACCAGGGCTGTGCTCCAGGGTTTCAGTGGGGATGGACACATTAGCGTCCAGCTCTAGGGTTTCAGTGCGGGTGGACACATTGGGGTCCACTCAGAAGCTGCCCCTGAGTCAGCCTGTGCTGTGGGCTGTAGCGAGGAGTCAACAACTCCTCAGTGGCCCCAGACATGGGCAGCAGAAGCGCCCAGGGCTCCTGGGGTCCCAGGAGTGTCTAGGGAGGGTATCCCCATGGGCTTGTCTCTGGTCCAGCAGCCAGGCTGCCCCATGCTGGTGACGCAGAGTGTCCCTTACAGGTGGCCCTGAGACCTCCACAGAGAAGCATGGGGATCCATCCCTGGCCCTGCTCCACAGCCCACTACAGGGACAGCCAGGTGTGAGGGGACCATAGAGATAGTGGAGCCTTGGTCAGCATGGAGAGGACAGGAGTTGGTCAGCCATCAGGTCCTTGAGGGCTGGAGTCACATGTTGGAGGGCAAATCCAGCAGTCTGGGCTACAAGGATCTGCCCACAGCATCCCAAGGGAACCTGGCTACTCTAATGCTTGTCCATGAGGGAGCGCCATTCTGCTCAGTTCAACCCCCAGAGCCTGGACAGCCCCCTTTGCAACCTGGAACACTCAGAGCTGCCCCAGGACCCAAGGTGACCCTTGACTCCACTGCAGGTGCTGGGAGGCCTGGCAGTTCTGAGCCTCGGGGCCTTGGCCCTTGCTCTCCTCCTGTGGCAAGCATCCCTTCCATCCACCTCGGGCGAGAGACAACTTGAGGAGGAACCTGCCCCATCCTGGCACCGTGGCGCCCACCTGGCCTGGGATCTCAGAGAAGAGGAGGTGTCCACACGGCAGGACAACTGCCAGTGCGTGGGAGCCAGAATCAGTCCTGCTGCCCAGGCTCCATGGCCACCGGAGACCCCCAGACCGACTCCTCCCAGGGAAACACCTCGTCCACCTCTGCCCACCCCCACCAGACCACCTCAGAGAAGCTCTGCCCCGTCTCCACCCAAGACCCAGTTCAACTCCCCCAGAGAAGCCCCATGTCCACCTGTACCCGAGCCCCCATGACGCTCCTGTCCAGGCAGGAAGTGAAGCTGGAGAAGAGCAGCCCTCTGCACACCTGTCCCTCACAGTACACATCCCTACCTCACCCGCATCTCTCCTTGGTCCCCTCTACCCCACACTGTACACCTGCCCCCCACCTCACACCTGTACCCCATCTACAACTCATCTCTGCCCCTGCATGACTGTCCCTTGATCTTGCACACCTGACCCCCACCTGCCCCCTGGCCCCACTTCCCCACCTTCCCCCCTGCCCCCTACCTGCATACTTGTCCCACCACCTGTCTTGCACACCTGGAGATAAGTCTATGCACTTCAGGCCAATCTCCTCCTTCTGAGTCAGTGACACCGGACCCATTGGTTCTGCTGGACCCAGGGCACCCTTCTGGGGTGAGGTGGGCTGGAACCTGGCCCTAAATTGGCTTTCTAGCCCACCCCATCCACCCTCTCCCTGGACCATCTGCAGGGTCCTTCTGCCCCTGAAGATTGCTGAATTAGACTTGCATCTGCCCAGTCAAGGAGGTGCCAGGCTGTGAAGCACCATGTTCCCCAGGCCCTGTCCCTATCTCTTGATTCTGGGCCCTCCCGAAGTGGGGTCTGTGTGAGGCACTCAGGCTCCTTGTTCCCAGGTGGGGTCTATGAGGTGGGGACTGGGAGGGGCTCAGCCACCTTGTTCCTCGAGTATGAGTTCTCCTGAGGAGGGGGCTGGGGGAACTCAGTCTGTTCTCCCCACTGTGCAGGCTGGTCCTCGTGGAGAGCATACCCCAGAACTTGCCTCTGTCTAATCTGACTGCCCAGCCGCTAGCCCAGGCCTGGCTGCGGCTACTCGACATTGCCCAGGAGAGTGTCCATGTGGCCTCCTACTACTGGTCCCTCACAGGGCCTGACATCGGCATCCATGACTCCTCCTCCCAGCTGGTAGGCCCCCTGACTTGAGGGCCCTGCTGCACTGGGCTATGGGGCCATGCCCTGGGCCAGTTTTGGGGGTGGAGGAGGATGGGGACAAGGCCCCGGGCTGGCTTGGAGATGGGAAAGAGAGGGCCAAGCCCCGGACATGCTCCTGAGAGGGAGTGAAGAAGTCATCTTGGGGGCCAGCCCCACATTCCGTCTGCCCCCAGGGAGAGGCACTTCTGCAGAAGCTGCTGCAGCTCTTGGACAAGAACATCTCCTTGGCTGTGGCCACCAGCAACCCAACGCTGGCCACGAAGTCTACAGACCTGCGGGTGCTGGCTGCCCGGGGTAGGTGCCTGTGAGCTCAGCGGGCCCTGGACCCTGGGACGAGGGCAGGACAGGGCTGTGTGGTCTGAGGCTGGGTGCCCCCCACCCCGAGCCACCTCAGCCTAGAGGGAAGGGCAGGGCACTCCATCTGCTCACCCTGGACTGTCATGCCAGCCCCTGACCAGAGCACCAGGCAGTGCAAGCTCTCGGGAAGGAGGGAGGAAGGATGGAGGGAGAGAGGGAGGGAGGCAAGGAAGGAAGGATGGATGGAGGGAGGGAGTGAAGGAAGGAAATTGGTGGGTGGGAGGGAAGGAAGGATGGACAGAGGGACAGAGAGAGGGAGGAAGGGAGGCAGAGCGGACCAGACAGGGACCCTCAATCGGGAGCAGGAATCCCGGTGGCCTGGAGGCCTGGCCAGCCCTGAAGAGGAGGGGTGATGCCTCAGCAGCAGAGCAGTACTGGCGACAAGGACTGACTTGGGGTGTGAGCATCAGCTCCCCAGGTCAGCATGACGAGCCTGTGGGCTTCTTGTGTTCTGCCAGGTGCCCAGGTGCGGCGTGTGCCCATGGGGCGGCTCACTGGTGGCGTTCTGCACTCCAAGTTCTGGGTGGTGGACAGGCGGCATGTCTACCTGGGCAGTGCCAACATGGACTGGCGGTCCCTGACGCAGGTAAGTCCAGGGCACTGAGCTTGGGTCCCCAGGTGGACAGCAGGTTCCTGGACAAAGATGGCATCACAAGTCGACCGAGGGAAGCTGAGTGACATCTGTGATGTCTCAGCAGTGACGGCAGCAGGAGACTGGTTTGAAGCAGGATGCTGACCGAGGGAGGGCAGGGGACACCGCCGAGCTGGGGCCTCCTAGAAATGGCGGTGGACCGTGGGCCCACGGATGTGGCGGCTACTGCGTGTGGTCGCTGTGAGACGAAGCCGCCTGCCTCCTTGCGGGTTCTCACAGGACATCATTCCAGACCATCAAAGCCCTGAGCTCCACTGCAAGTGCACTCTCTAGTTTGGGGCCCTCCAGAGGGTGCTGCAGAAGGCCCCCTGTAGTAGCGGCTGTGCTCCAGCAAGCCTTGAGGTGCAGCAGTGGGGCCCCATCTGGAGGACCTGGGGACTCCCAGTTGCATCCCCTCAGTGCGCCTGGTGAAGGTGGGAGACCTGAAGCCACACCTCTCCAGCCCTTGACCTGTCTACAGGTGAAGGAGCTGGGCGTGGTCATTTATAACTGCAGCCATCTGGCCCGAGACCTGGACAAGACTTTCCAGACCTACTGGATGCTGGGCGCACCCAAGGCCATCCTCCCCAAAGCCTGGCCTCGGAACGTCTCAACCAACGTTAACCGCTTCCGGCCCTTCCGGGGTCACTTCCACGGGGTGCCCACCGCTGCCTACTTCTCGGTGAGGGGCTGATTGCATCACTGTCCTATCACTGTTCCCCAGGCCCAAATGGCCTTCTCCATGGAGGCCGAGACCCAGTGACCGAGGGGCGACCAGCCAGGAACCTTCCCCGGGACAATAGTGGGCCCGCCCCACTGCTCAGGGTTCCTCAGACTCGGGCCCCTGAGCAGACTCCCTGGGCCGGGGAGGGCCTGCTGGCCCCGTCCTGTTTTCCCACATGGACTGAGGCTGCTCCAGGGCCCTGCTCGGCCTCTTCCACCACACACGGAGTTGGTCTGGCCAAGCGTCCGGCTAAGGGATGGAGTTAGGTCCTCACTGAGCCCCTCTGGCAGGCCTCGCCACCCGTGCTCTGCCCCCATGGCCGCACGCGAGACCTCGACGCACTGCTGACAGTGATGGGGCAGGCACGCGAGTTTCTCTACGCCTCGGTCATGGAGTACTTCCCCACCACGCGCTTTAGCCGCACGCCCAGGTGTGCGCGGGCGGCGAGGGGTGCGCGCGCGGGCGGCGAGTTGGGTGTGTGGATGAAGCTGGGAACATAGGCAGGACCTGATGTATGGACAGCGTTAGTGAGTGGGCTGGGCGGGTGCATGGAGGGAGCTGGGTGAATGGGCGGGGCCGATATATGGGTGGAGCCAGGTGCGTGAGGCGGAGTCAGGTGCGTGGGCAGAGTCAGGCTCATGGGTGGGACCTGATGCATGGGTGGCGTTGGTGAGTGGGCAGGGCGTGGGCAGGGCCTGGGCAGTCAGGCCCACTCTGCTGTGATCACTGTTCAGAGCACCTCCTGCAGACTCACCCAGCCCTGCTTAACTCAGGTACTGGCCAGTGCTCGACAACACCCTAAGGGCAGCAGCCTTCAGCAGGGGCGTCCACGTGAAGCTGCTGGTCAGCTGTTGGCTCAACACGGACCCCACCATGTTTCCCTACCTGCGGTCTCTGCAGGCTCTTAGGAACCCTTCAGCGGGCATCTTTGTGGACGTGGTGAGAACCTCTCCCAGGGGATAGTGGGCAAAGCAGTCCCTGTCCCCTACCCAGCCTGACACCTCTGTTTGCCCTGAAGAAAGTTTTCATCGTGCCTGCGGGGAACTACTCCAGTGTCCCCTTCAGCAGAGTGGACCACAGCAAGTTCATGGTCACCGAGAAGGCAGCCTATATTGGTGAGTGCAGGAAAAGACTGGGGCCAGTCCCTGCCCAGGGCGTTGAAGCCGAGGGGGCGGCATGACACCCGAGGCCTAAACCCACAGAGTGATTTAGTCTCTGGGGTGCGTGGATGGAACCGAGTGTGTCACTAGCGATAGACGAGGGTGCTAAGGGTGGGCCAGGGACCCAGCATGAACCTTCGGTACAGGGGAGCTTCAGAAGGGGTCCAGGTCCCTGGTGGACTTGGTGAGCAGGCATTGCCAGCTTCCCATGGCCACACTGGGCAGGTGAAGAATCCTCAACACAGAGCCTTCAGAACCCTAGCCGGGCCATCTGTCCACCCCTCTTTGGTCAGGATCCTGGGAGAGGTCCACATCTCAGGAGCTGGCTGGCCATGCGTGCCAGAGCCAGGGCTGCCGTATGGGGGCTGGAGGAAGCCAGGTAGCCAGGAAGCACCTTCAAGCCTGCACGGGTCCTGTGAGCCCCGTGACAAGCACCTGTCCACCTCCCCAGGCACCTCCAACTGGTCTGAGGATTACTTCAGCAGCACTTCAGGTGTCGGCCTAGTGGTCAGCCAGAGAGCACCCCATGGCCAGCAGGGGGTCCCCACGGTGCAGGAGCAGCTGCGGCAGCTCTTCGAGCGGGACTGGGCCTCCCCGTATGCTGTGGGTCTGGACAGACAGGCTCCAGGCCAGAATTGCATCTGGGGGCGCTGAGGCCAGCAGTCCATTTCAAGGACACTGCCCTCTCTGACGGTCCTCTCAGCATCGCCCCTACTCAACTCCTGGGACATGGTCAGGACCACCTCACCCTCAAGGCCTTCACAAGCACTGTTCTCTAAACCTGGCTCTTCCTGAACCTTACTCCTGCAGGAAACCCTCCTCAGCTCCCCAAAAGCCCGACCCACTGCCCTCCCATCGGCTCTGACTCACGGTGGCCCAGTGCAGGACAGAGAGCCCACCCGCAGGGTCCCCAGGGCTATGGTGAACTGGAAGGAGCCCTGGCTGCTGACCCACAGTTATGCGGTGGGCTCTCTCTCTCTCTTGTGTGGCCTTCACAGACCTAGTGGAGGCTCAGCCGCTGGCCGCTTCCAACTCGATGCCCCATAACAACGCTTATAATGCAAACTAAGTGCTTCCTCTTTGTGTCTGGAGCCCTGAAATGGAGCACTTAATCACTGCACTACTGGTCCCACTAGCCGCCATGTGCTTCTCTCCCTCTGTGTCAGTCCAGCACCACCATGTACTCCTCAGTCCTGCTCAGGCTGGTCTTCAAGTGGAGGGATGAGTGCTGACACCTCACTTCCACGGGGATCCCGCAGGCTGGGGGTGGAACCCAGACTGTGGGGCGGCCTTAGGGGTGAGCCTAAATCAACAAGAGAGTTCCAGTTCCACGGGGCAGGATCTGGTGCTCAGGGGTGGACCTGCATCTGAACAATAGAATCTACTGATGCACATCTGAGGGGCAGTGTCTGGTGCCCAGGGGAGGGCCCATGCCTTGGGGGCGGGCCTAGTGTGCAGGGGCGGGTCCATGTCTGAGGGGCAGAGTCTAGTGCCCAGGGGCGGGTCCACATCTGGAGGCAGAGTCTGGTGTCCAGGGGCGGGCCCATGCCTAGGGGCGGGCCCACGTCTGAGAGGCGGAGTCCGGTGCATAGGGGTGGACCCATGTCTGAGTCCTGGGGTGAGTGGGCAGTTACTCTGTGCCACAATCACACAGAACTCATGTGGTGAGAACTGGCATCCAGCAGTCCTTCGAGCCGGAGGGAGCCAGGCCAAGTATCCCTCAGAGGGCTTGTGCCCATGGACCATGGAGGGAGGTTGATGACAGGGTGGGTCCCTGAAGCTCCTTCTGCTGCTTCCCGTGGAGAAATGGAGTGGGTTCCTCGGGGAGCAAGCCTCTGAGACCCCAGTGTCACGGAGTGCAGTTGTCCCTTGGACCATACTGCACTCGGTGCTTGCTACCTGTGCTGCTGTGTGCGTATGTGCTGTTTCTCTGTGTCTGAATGTCAGGTGTGACTGTACACCTGTGTGTCTGTGCATGTGTGAGTATTTCTGTGCCTGGTTAACTGTGTGTGTCTACATGTGTGTGACTTTGCGCCTGTGTACATAACTCTGTGTGCACGTTTATGTTTGCTCGTCTGTGTACATAACTCTATGTGTACTTGTATGTTTACTCGTCTGTGTGTATATCTGTGTGTATGTACCTGTGCATGTGTGCACATGTCTGTGTGTATTTCTGTGTGTGCACTTATCTGTGTGTGAGTCCCCCGAAGACAGTGAGCTCTGAGGGCAGGAGGGGTCATTTTCTCTGTCGCTCATCACACCTGTGATAGGAGGCCCCTGGGAAATAATAAACATCTTGATGGACACTGGCTATAAAATTACCACTCCATGCCCACTGCCACGCCTGCAGCCACACCCACACCAGCACCCATGCCCACAGCCACGCCCACACCAGCAGCCACGCCCACACAACACCCATGCCCACAGCCACGCCCACACCAGCAGCCCTTCCCACAAGACAAAGCCGTCAGATGCTCATGTCTAGTTTATTTAGCAACACCCTCTTCTCCACTCACACCTCCAAGGCACCCTCACACTGATGGGAGCTCTTGTGGGACTGGGGTGCAGCGTATACAAGGCTTTGGGGGAGTTAGACACACCGAAGAAGCTGAGTACAAGGGTCCATGTTTGCAGGACTGTGATGGTTGGTCACACAGGCATCTGTCCACTGCGTTCTTAGTCCTCTGAATGGAAGCGGATGAAGCATTATGGGGTGGGGTGTGCAGTACACGTGCCAGAGCTCTGCTTTGGGGTTTTATGTGTGTGGACAGGTGTACGTGCTTGTGTGCCAGCGTGCGTGAATGTCTGTGTGCATCTGTGTGCACCACACCTGTGTGTGCATGTGTGAGATCTGGGGGCATGTCAGGGAGCAGCGCTCCTCTGCGGCAGGGTCAGTCTCTTCTCTGTGGATGTCACGGTCCCTCCTCTGGAGCTTGGCCTGCGTGCACAGCCCCTGCCAGCTCTGCATCCTTGACTTCAGGGGAGAGACTTTCACAGGCATCAAAAAAGATGGCTGTTTCTTCTTGGAGTCTTTGCTCCTCAGGCACTGCTCCATCTTCAGTCCTTTTGGTCTTCTTAGTGGGAGATGAAGAGAAACCCAATTTGGGAAATCGGAACCAGCCCCCTTTGTCTGGTTTTCTAGGCAGCTCTGCCTCTGGCCGAGCCTCGGGCTGCGTTTGGATGGGAGAGGGTCCCAGGACCTGAGCTTTAGAATCAGAACTGCTCGTCTCCTCCCCAGAAGATGAAAGCCCAATGTTTGGAAGCCAAAACCGAAAAAGACCAGCCGGTTTCTTACTTGCAGGTCTGGGCTCGTGACCCCCATCTCCACCTGGCTGGTCGGCCTCCTCCTGGCCGTCCTTGGAGGGGACCTCCAGCTCCAGGATCTCTGGTGGCTCCTCGTCTGAGCAGCTGTTAGTGTGTGGGGAGCCGGGCGCTGTGGGTGTGCTGACGCTGGCTGAGATGATCTCAAAGGGCTCCCCATCTAGCTGCAGGTCTGCAGAAGTGGGGTCTGCTCCTGAGGCCTCTTGCTGGGGAACCTCTGTTGGCCTATCTTCCGACTGGGAGCCAAAAGTGGCTGTGTGGCCTAGAGTCTGTGTTGGGGGCTCAGGGATTTTCACCTTGAGCAGGGAAAAGCCATACGTGGGCGTTTGGACCTCAGAGGAGGGCACTTGGGACTCTCGCACAATCTGAGTGGAGAAAGCTTCTGGCGGGGAGGATTCACCAGGCCCGAGCGGGACCCCACCACACACAGTGACCACCTGGCTTGCCACTTGAGTGCCCTGGATGTGCACCCTCACCTTGGAGAGTGAAGTCATTGCTGGTGACTGCCCTGTGTCTGTAGGCTGCAAGATGCTGGCCACCCAGGCGTCTGTGCTGTCCCTGCCCATGGGCCCCCCGGAACCTGCCCCTTGACATGGTACTTCTCTCACAGAGGGGACAAAAACATCAGCATCTGTGCTGGGGGCACGGAAAGCAAACCTGGGCCCCTTCAACCTGGGGAAGGTGACGGTGACCACGGAATCCTCCCAGAGCTGCTCTGTCTGCACGATGGAGACCCGGGCTGGTGTCTCAGTCTGTGCCGTCCGGAGTTTGACAGGTCCTTCTCGATGGTCCCCAGGCTCAGGAGGACCTGGCTTGTCTGACTGTCCTGGGGCAGCCTGGTGTGCTGACAGACTCTGGAGCAGGAGGGAGCCTTCCCCAGGGCGCACCCTGGCCTCCTTCAGCATGGCCGCTCCCACAGGGGGGGACAGCCCCAAGCCTGGGCCATGGACACTGCATTCCAGGACATCATCCTGGGACCTGGTCTCAGCTGGTCCGTCAGCCTCAGTATCTGTGAGCTGTGGGGTCGTGGCAACTTCCACTCTAGACTCATAGGAGTCCTGACCCTGGACTCCAGCTGCCTTGTCCTCACCTTGAGGACCAGGGCCCGGGGCCATGGCCGAGGCAGCCCCATCCTTGTCCTTGGTGGCCGTACGCCAGAAGCCAGACATTCGGAACCTGGGCACTCGGAACCAGCCATCCTGTGAGCCTGCTCGCACCCCAGTCACCTGACCCGTGCCCCCAGGGCTCTGCACTAAGGGGGCTTCAGAGTCCAGTGGGACCCCAGCAGAAGGGGGCATCTCTTCCTTAGGGGGGACTGTGCCTTCCCTGGGAGTGGGCAGCACTGAGCTACCCAAGGGTCCATGGACCCCATGGCCTTCACTGTGAAATGAGTCATGCTCAGGAAGACTGGTCTCTGATCGGCTCCCAGTCACTTTGGCTTTGGGGGCCTCCCTAGCCTCACCCCCATCATTGCTGTTCCTTCCTGCAGCTGCAGAGCTCCAGGAGAGAGACCCCTGGGCCTCAGCCTGGGGCCGGCCTGTCCCCTTGGAGAGCTGGAATGTGGGCGTGGCCAAGCTCGACTTCTCCGTCTGCCCCTTCACGCCTTCTGTCTCCAGGGGCAGCTTTGCCTCCCCTTCTGCTGTAAGCACATAGCACCCAGTCTGCATGCTGGGTGGGGTGGGGTCCAGGCCCAGGCTGAGCTCCACTTCGCCCTCAGGACCTCTCTGTTGTCCCACCCCCTTCTTAGGAGAGCGGCTGAGGGAAGGAAGCTTGAACCGTGCTGTTTTGAAGGGACTGCCCTTCCTGGTTTGCTCACTGTCCTTGCTGGCCATTGTGACATCAGGCTCAGAGTGGCCCTCCAACCCCTCGGAGACCAGGGTGCCCCCAGACAGCAGAGCCGTGCTGGGTGGAAGGGATGTGCCCGTCCTCAGAGCTGCAGTGTCCATGTCCTCGTCCTCAGCGGCACTGGGAGTCACCACTGAAACCCCGAACTTTGGTTTATAAAATTTAGGAAAAGTGACCCTTGCATAGGTAGCAGAAGCCAGGAACGCCACAGGGCTAGGGGCTACATCCATGTGCTGCTCGGGAGCCCGGGGTTGCATCTCAGCTGCACCCTGGAGGCTGGGGCAGGGTGCATCAGTGTGAAGCACAAGTGTTGTGTCCTCTGGACACTCAGCAAGTCTGGTGGCTACAGGGATTGTGACCAGGTCCTTTGTCAGAGCGACACCATCCCTGATGGAGAGGTGGGAGGACTCCACAGGTGAAGGCTGGCAGTCCTGCGTGTCTGAAGGAACAGCCAAAGAGCCCACCTTTGGGATCCGCGAGAACTGGGCACCACTAGCCCCAGGCTCCTCCCCGGGGGCCTTCAGGTCAGCTTTTAACATTGTGACGCTAGGCATCTGGAACTTGGGCAGGTGCCCCTGGAGTCCAGGTGTGCTTCTGTCTGAGTCAGAGAGTGGCTGGCCCTCAGGTAGCTTCACGTCCACCTCGCCACACTTCACTTGCACATCGAGAGAGGAACGCTGGATGCTGAGATCAGCAGGTTGGGCTTCTTCCTCCATGGAGGAGACAGGCTCTTCCACCTGGGTGTTACGCAGGGACATGTCCACAGAAACCCTCCTGGGCTTGTTGGGCACAGACAAACCCAGCGAAGGCACCTTAAACTTGGGCATCTTAAACTTGCCATCTTTGGAAGCCAGGTCCTTGTCTCTCAGGGACACGTCACTTTCAACCTTGGCTTCTGGGGCTTTGCTGTCTACTTCCACTCTAGACAGGGGCAAGTCCATATCTGGTGAAGCCACTTCCTGCTTGAGGCTTTTCATGTCCACTTTGGGGCCTTTCATGTCCCCTTTGGGTGCCTTGATGTCCACCTTGGGGATCTTGACTCCAGGCATCTGAAACTTGGGCAGGTGCCCTTTGAGTCCAATACCCACAGCCTGTCCCAAGAGGTCTCCCTCTGACAATGGACCCTCAGGGAGCTTCACTCCCACCTCCTCACCCTCCACTTCCAGGTCAGCAGACGGGACTTGAATGCTGTGGTATCCAGGCTCAATCCCACCCTCCAGGGAGGGAACAGACTC